AATTTTTCCAAATAGTGGCACTATTCTCGACTAAAATTAATTATTGAAACCAATAATTACATACTGCCTTACAATAAATTTATAGATTTCAATTATAAATTTGAATAACTTGAACATGCAAATTATATGAACTATTTTCAAATTTTTCGTTACTATAATCGTTATATAATATTGACATATGTGTGTAATAAATTTGCAGACATCCCTGATATGTTTAATGCATGACATAAAATTGTATAAGACTGAATTGCAGTTGCTTTCTTCTTTTATCCCACGCAACGAAACACATCCCACATTACAATTTCGACAGTTGATATCGGAACAGACATACATAACAATTATTACAATAGTAGCATATTTCATCTTCTTTTTAATAAAAATGAGATAAGAATTGCACGTGCATTTATACTACCTTTAAATGACGATCGATTCAGGATATACATATATATATATATATAACGTGGTTCAAGTTCGATAGATCTGTACATAAGAAAGGTTAAATTCTTTTAAAATATTAAATATACATTAGACATCCTTAATTTATTAATAATTATTTATTACTGTTTTTTTTATTACATAAAACTAATAAATGATTGCATTGTTAAAATATACACATATTGTACACGAAATTCGGTGGTAATACAACTTCCGGTTCTATTCCATCATTCCCGGCGATCGAAGAACTCGGAAGAAGAGTGACGCCACAGCCCAAGAGAAAGACGACATTTTACCAGAATCGCGCGTCCACGGCATGTGTAAGAAGATTTGTGTAAAATACATCTATTTCAACGTAGAAATTTCTACAAATATCACCTCGTAAAATAAAACTTATTCATTTCGATCAGGTAAGTTGATACAATCCTCGAGTACACGTTTTTTTCGATAAATGGTTATTCCGAAATTTTTGCGGAGAGGAGTCATTTTAGGAAATAGTAGATAAAGTTATTGATTTTGGCAATAGAAATATAGACAATTTTGTTTAATGTACTATATATTTTGACGTGGAAACATACGCAACATGTTTCATCGTAAATTGAAACATTTATAGATCACGAGTGTACGCCGGAATGGTATGCGCACAGTCGTATAAATTATTAGCAACAATGAAGAAATTTAATGCATATATTATCTTTTTTCAGTAGAAACATGTTCTTTACATCATAATAATAATATTAATCATAACAATAATATTAATCGAAACTTTGTGTATAAATTTCCCAATTTACAAAGGTTTGTATTATTGTGTCGATGCTTTATATTGTTAATAATTATGAAAAGGGTAATAATTTCTAAGAAACCAGTGCTGACCATAGCATTTAAAATGCGAGTCATGTAGAAGAAAAACTCCTGTGGCAAAAGTTTTGCATATTTAACCAAACATATGAAATGATTACTGAACATACGTAACAATGCTAATAATAATATGTATATCAGTGCTATATTTTATACATTTCATGGATTGTTGGGTCATTGAAAGTTTAACGTTTCTGATTGCTGAAAATATAAATAATAAAATTGTTCAGTAGATCATGATTAATAAGTTTTTATAAACATGTACAAATGATATTTTACAACATATGAATATTCTTGTTTTCTCTATAGACATTTCACACCATATCTGACACCTATAAGTCACCTATAAGTTGTAATTATGAGTTACAGCTATATTAAATCCAGGTTGGTAACATCGTATAACGCATATATACCTAAATTATAATCTATTATAATTCAGATTACTGTTTAACTTTATAAGTTCTGCATTTGTATCATTTGTGGGTGATAAATGCTACTATTTAATGAAAATATAACATCAAAGATAACATTCATTCTTTGAATTTCGCTATTAAATGATATATTCTTTGATTGTAGAGTAATTAAGCAACTTGAAATGAGTATTATGAAACAATATATACTAAATATCTATCCTTTTTTTCCAGTTCTAGTATGAGTTCCCGTGGACGTGGATTTAATTCACGGGGCGGCAGTTCTTATAGAGGAAGAGGTGGTGGTAGTGGAAATGAATGGAACAGTGGTTCGACAGGAGGATACATGTCTAGTAGAGGAGTTTATTCCTCTTCTAGAGGAGGGAGGTTTAAATATTCCACTACTAGTTATGATTCTCGTTCAAAATATAACTCTGGTTAGTTTTAATTTATAAGTTTATAGCTAAACATAATAAATTGATATAAAATATTTCTCTATCGGAAATAGTTGTGTTCAATATTATTCATATTTATAATAGGTGGATCAGAGAGATACTCTAGTAGAGGAGGAAGAGGTGAACATTCAAATAGTTATAAAAGACCCAGGGTACGTATATGAATAAGAGATTACTATAAAATTTCTATTACTATTTGTAAATGAGATCATCTTAAGATATAAACTTTTTTTCAGGATTCTTACTCTGGCAGAGATGAGCACAGATCGTCTAGTGATTCAACTCGTAAAAGGATGAGGAGTGATTCCTATCAGGTATGTATATTATAAAATGAATGCAAAAACGTTTATTGCTATGAGACATATTTTAAATAAATATTAGTCTATATTGTTCGAATCTCCTGCAGTGCTGTGGTCAAGAACTATTTTTCATCTTGAAAGTCCTGTTTCACAAAGAATTTTTAAATTTTTTATAATCACTTAGTATGAATAAACGATGGTCCTGAAAATTTTTTATTGAGGAGGCTTAAGCACCTAGTTTGAATTATTCCATCCTATATGAAAAGCATTTTCAGGACACTCGTCTAAATATTTAAAACAAAAATTTTTTTAAGAGTAGTAGGCAAAGCATTCATAAGTCGTCATACTTTCCTTTCAAGCGACGAGCCAACGGCTACTTGAACACCCATTCTTTTTGCGTTGGGACACTACTGGTGGAACACTGCGAAAACATCACATAATTAAAAGATGAAATACACCTAGATGGTACTTATGTTGTTGCCTGCACACAGTTGCATTAAATATTGAGAACGACCTGCAAAATATCAGAATGAACAGATGGATAGATAAAAATATACATATAAAATATATACATATAAAAGTATGACTTTTAAAGTACTGACGTTACATCTGTATTGTTCTTTCTGTAAGGCAGTATGTGCGACCGAACCAATTTCCTGCACAATGCAGGTCAGTCATAGAACTGTTGACAAGCATCGCTGCATTGCCACACCGCACAAATTTCTAACAAATCGCTGCATCATGCAGTTTTCCAAATTACATCAGTTCAGAATGTTCATTGGGAGAAAGAAATAAATTATCATTAATATCAGAGTAATCGTAGACCTTTCCAATCTAAAGAACATGCATCCTGTGTTATGTTCAGTTAAAAATAACTGAGAGAGATCAAGCTTTTTTACATATATAATAACTCTGCCTTGTACAAACAGGTAGACTTTGAAACTAAATACATGCTGGCAAGCTTTGCACACACCGGTGGAGATACACAAAGTATTTTTCTATCGTGTACCTTATCCTTAAAGAAAAACTGTATAAGGATACGTTATTAGAACTACAATTTTATTAGTTTAGTTGATTTTCTGGTCCATGTGTGAGATATAGAGCAATTATATGAATCAGCACTTTACATACATGAGTATATAAAAACGCATCTATCCTTATATTATTCAAATTGGAAAGGTCTATCAGCAATTAATCCAGAATTATGCAGAATTCAATTTATTTAAAAACTTCAAGGAAGTGAGAAAACGCTGGTCATATCAACTATTCAGAGATCATGTCAGCCGACGAAAATGGCAAGGACACTATTCATGTTTTTCGACAAGTAAAGATCCTTTTTACGTAAATAAGTAGTAGGTGCTTCTCAATTGTAGGGAAAATAAAAAACTAAAAAATATATATATATATATTTCGGTGATCCAACGGGAATGGGTGTAGTGACCGTAACGGTGCAAAGTTGGATGATTTTGTACTAGACGATTGGCACTGTAATTGAGGTAAATGAGGGAGTGCGAGAGAATGGATAAAACGGAATTAGAGAAAAAAAAGTAATAAAGCGTATGAAGGATATATGATAGGAGGGAACAATAGGGAGAAATGTATCTAGAGTCAAAAATTAAAAAAGAAAGAGAGAAGGGCAGGAAAGAGAGAAAGATGCATTGGGAAGGAGCACAATTGAATTTGATTTGGCAGGGTGGAGGTAGCGGTAGCGGCTCACAGAGGTATTCTTCGTCGTATGGTGGTTCGTCCGCATCAGCACCTTATGACGACAATAAGGGATCGTCATCCTCGGCCGTGTATGAGGACAAGAGACAGAGCGAGCGAGCCTCGTCATACCACCGCTCAGAGGACCGTCACTCAGCATCACGGAGCTATGCACCTCCACCACCCCCTCGGATTAGCGAAATGGCACCTCCGACTCAGAGATATAACTCGAGCCGAGGGCGAATATCGCATCAAAGCTCAAATTACAGAGGTCGCATTTCAACACGCGGCAGCGGAAGAGGGGGTGGATTCCATCGCATGAGCTCTCGATCGGACGTCATCATGGCTCGCAAGCGTACTCTGCACTCGCTCGACAATCGACGCAAGCTGCTAGGATCGCGATCGCGAGACTACATCCAGCGTGTGCGCATGACAACTACCAAAATGCGCAGGAGGTAATTAATTAATAAATCACTTACCAACTGCAATACCGTCCTAGTAGCCTGCTTGCTTAATTTGTCAGTAAATGAACTGACCATAATCCGACTATATGACATGAGTGTCGAAAGACGATGATAGACATATAGAAAATAAAAAAAACTGGTAACAGAAAATATATATATATATACATATACGTACATAAAAGTAATTATAATTATCATAATAATAATAAATAATAATTATAATAAAACATGACACAAATGATCGCACGAAATACCAAATATTGTACTGTCGAGAGGCAAACTTTTCGCTGGGTTCTAATAAAGAGGGAATTGATATTCTGATACGCATAGATACCAATGTGTGTGTGTATCGATTGAAACACAATGTAATTAATTTTGATATGAGAACTACTATAATACTTGTACTTTACGAGATCATTACGTTTGTCATTCTTACACATAGCGGTGACTAAAAAAACAAGCGTATAAGAACGTTGTTTCTTAGATGTATTTTAAGATGCGCGAAAATGCGAAAGACATAAAAGTAAGAGCACAATATAAATGCGATGCAAAAAGGCTGAATAGTTAAAGACCTTTATTGCAATACGAAATGCATTTCATTCATATCTAAATGGGGGATAAAAGAAACAAAGTAAAAAGTAATATATCGCGATGTTTACCGTATATCGACTAAGACAAAAAAGGTTTTGGTCGATGATATAATGAAAGACAAAGGAACCAGAACAAAATGAAGGGAAATAATGTAAGTCAAAACAAAATTGCTGTGTCATTAGTAGCGGTACTACTAGGCTATCCGGAAGTAAAAAGGAGTCAGGATCAGGAACCAGCATGAAGGACAAGGATAGAGAGATGACCAAAGCTATTAATGCTGAATTTTCCGATGACGATGAAGAGGATGATGATAATAAAAGTAATTGGGATGATGATGAAAAGGTAACTCCATAAAACTGTTATCGGTGCAAGGTGTAAAAAAAAAAAGAAGATTGATCATGGCTTCAGGGTAAACTTTTTTAAGTGCTCAAGGATCTAGAGGTGTATATTTATCTTCTGAAATCATGACAAATTTACACCTTGTACACTTCTCCATTGTGTGTAACATAAACCCAGCTATTAATAGCGATGCTTACTATACTGTTTAACAACATTAATTCAGCCACATGAACGTGACGATGAAGAAGAAGAGGAAGAGGAGGAAGAGAAAAAGAAAAAAGACGACAAACGAAAGAAAGAAAAACAGGAACGAGAAAGACCAAACTCCGAAGATGAAGAGGAAAAAGATGATGAAGTGAAAGAAGATGAAGATGATCATAAGCACGAGGTATGTCGAACGCTGTACAGAATGTCTAAGATAAGACATTATATAGTTATTTTTAAATAGCAATCAAATGTTAAATCATAAGTGTTTCCTTTATATGGCAAATCTTTGTTTCATTGTTTATACTGTTAGGATGACGAAGACGATGGTGACGATGAGGAAAGAGACGATAATGATAAAACTGATCATGGTCGAACTACTGGCTCCGACGAACTGCCCAGTAGGAGAGACGGAAGGAAGTTCATTAAATTAACTTGTCCACATTGCGCTCACCGAAGCGTCACATTTAAAGAATACTCGTTGCATTTGTATTCGGGTCGTCATAGCGCAGCTATGAGACGAATTGCATCACGACACAAGGCAACTCTAACGCGAATGCGGGTTTTACAACGACAAGAACAACGACGTGTTGAGGCTCGTGATGCAGCACGTGGTACTTTACCATCTCGTACCATGTTCTGTCCCATTTGTAAACTGAATTATAGGTCGTTGAAAGCGGTACATCAATTGTCCGAGTCTCATCGCCAAATGAAACGATTCCTCACGCCATTCTGCAGAGTATGTCGTATTCAATTCCGATCACCGATGCTCTTCGAAACTCACATGTGTTCTCTGGATCACATTAAGGTATCGTTTTCGCAGTACATTTAATCTTTTTATTATACCACTTTCACATAAGCAGAATGTGTTATAAAGTAATTTATTATAATCTCCTTTGTAGAATTAAAATATTTACTTCATCAATTTTGAACAACCTTCATTGTATAATCTACATCTCATCTTGATGTACTAATGAATTCTGGATTTATTATTTTTCCAGAGGAAAAGTGCATTGAAAGAAAGAATGAATGCTGGAAACGGTGAAGCAGAAGCTGATTCCAGTGGACCCGAGGAAGATGACAAGGAAGTAAATCTTGATAATTTCATGACTTTGGATTCTGTAGGTGATGTTGACGGTACGCTCTATTCGTTATTATAAAGTTCTTTTTTTACTTACAATTGGGTATATTAAAACATATTACTTTCAATAGAAGACGAAGAATCTCCGGAAAAGAAGAAAGAAAAAACAGAAAGTGAAGGTACGAATGAAACAGAGAAGAAACTTAAGAGTAAACAGATGATTAAAGTTGGAGCTGAGTATATAAAACGTGTTGAAGTTCAATTCTGTGAACTTTGTAAAATCTACTTGCCACGAAGCGAAAATAATGAAAGAGCAATAGCACTTCATTGCTCAACAAGAAGTCATCTTAAACGGTATGCACTTAAAAATGAGTTGTCGTAATTTATTTTTGTTAACACAATTATTCATATCGATTATTTTATGTAGATATGTACGGGATAATGATGATAAAGCATTACGAAGACAAGCGGAAAGGATACATCTTCAATCCTCGTCGTCTGCTAATACGACTTCCACACCAAATATTGTAAATACCACAGAAAACATTAAATCACCAAATAGTTCTGAGCCGCCGTCTGCAAATAATTCATTAGTAGTTACTACGCCTGATGGTACGAACGCTACAGAATCTGGTAAACCAGTCGAACAAAAAGGAATCGTTTCTGAACCTGAGAAGAATATTAAAGATAGTAAGAATGGACAAGCTGAAGAGGAAGACGATGATGATTATCAAGGCGATAGCGCTGATAAATTATGGGATGACGTCGACAAAGATTTAAGCAACATTTTGAGGGAAACAGAAGCAGGAGGTAAATCCAGCGACGATGAAGATTCTCGTTATGATCGTTTTCGTAATTCAGATAAGAAGCAGCAACATCCTGGGAAAGATAAAGAAAGAGACAACGAGAAAAATGAGACAGACGAGAAGGAAAACATTAAAAAAGAAGTGAAAGTAATAAAACTTGAAAAAATAGATATGTAAAGTCCAAGGATTATTAGTACGTTTCAATCATATCCACACACATATATATATATGTGTATATGTATATACACATATACATACATATATATATATATGTTTTTACTGGTTTTTCACAAACGAGGTATGCAAAACTTCATAAAGACCACGTGTAGAGAAGTTTTGTGATCATTATTTCATATTGTAGAATTATTTTTACAAAGTCACGTAATTACTTTAAATAATATTAACAAAAAAGAATGTAAACAGTGATTTGTTTCATTTTGAATGAACTTTTTGTAGATATAAATGAATTGCAAGTTATAAAGTTATAAACTTTGGCGCCAACACATCAAATCATAACTACAATAACTTTTTAAAAAATTGTAGGTGACAACAATTTGTATGGGGCTATTAAATTTTAGGTTTTGCGTGTGTGAAATGTTGGACATGTTTGAAATGTACGGTAAATGCTGTAAACTTCACAATGTTCAATTCCTTTGTAATTCAAGAAGTCACTCTGTAAGCATATTTAGTGACGGTAATGTTAACACTAATTGTAAAGGAAACTATTCATATAAGCATCTTA